AAATTTAGAAAGCGTGACAACGTGTTAACATTGCGACCATGTAATCGCCATGTCATTTCCGAAAAATAGTTTCGCCGCATTGGTGACGAAACTTTAATGGTGAATTAGAACGGGAGCGAGAATAAGAGAAAGATCGTCGACATAGCAGCGCACGCTAGCAAGGGTAATGAAATTGTGTCACGTGTCGAGAGCAGCTTGTCCAGTCCGCAAATAATATCCAAAGTTCTTTCAGTTGGCTGCCAGCCACCAGTTCGGTTACCTACGAGTATATAGATTCTAGAATCGTGTCTGCTATGCCGTATCTCTTCAATCGGTCTTTCATCGCCGTATCACGCACACGTGCAACGTTCTAACTTCCAACCGATCCCATCCGTTTCGCAATGATCGCATATATTGGTACACCTGCCTTCAGAAAACGTGTTTCTGAATTTATCATTCGAAGATTTCAATGGCCTACAAAATTGGTTGTAATCGATCGTTGAATTATTCCAATAGGGAACTTGAACTTTGGAGTTCTCTAGTTCATTCGAAGTACAGTAGATATAGAACTCCGCAAGAGGTATGAAGAGATTTGTGTGAAATAGAAGTTTTCGATATCATTTCTTCCTATTATTCGTGGTTCGTTCGGAACCTCTCATCGCACAAGACAGCTGCTTCCTTCAAAATCAAAATTTTAATTCCTTTAATCGTTCGCAAAGTAACCCCCTTTCGAGCAGAATGAAAAGACGAAAGCTGAAAGAACATGCCTTGGCAAGGGAGCTTCGTATCTTTCTCCGACCGAATGAAACCGATGAAAGACTGAAAGATTGTGAGATCTGAACGATGGACAACAAGTCGAGATGGACAAAAGGAGATCGGCGAAGAAGGAGAGACTCGAGCGACCGGTGTCTTGCTGAATGAAGGGGTTGAAGGTGGATATTGGAGTTCGTTCGTTCGTACGGAGGACAGAGGAGAGAAGGTCAGCCCTGCCAGTGGAGAGGGCTCCATGTGGGGGCCTCGGAGAGGGCAGGAGAGGCCTCGGATGGGCCGCGTGACCTTGGCACCGAGCGCAACGGCCCACGAAGGCGGCTCTCTCTCGACGGTGTGCCTCGCCAGTCTCGACGCGCTAAGCAGCGTATGGTATTTATAGAGTGGAGAACCGTGAGGAACGAGTCTCGATCCCGCGGGACGACCAAAAGCAACACGGACGAATCGCGCGGATTCCACCGGCCCTTGGAAAACGAAGAATCCGGGAGGAGGAGACGGAGGGAGGGGGGGG